ATTCTATTCTATTCTATTCTATTCTATTCTATTCTATTCTATTCTATTCTATATATCAATAATACATCTAATGATAAATTTAGGCAGGACTTCAATTGTAGCCAATAAGACATATTCTCTTGTGGCCGGAGGAGGGAACTAAGATCTGAACACAGAGAGTTCCTAATAATTCAGCTACACTGAAACAATATAAAGCATAGCATATGTTATGTGTGTTATATGAATATGAAGCAAGGCAATATGTCTTTGAATCAGACTTGATCTCTGGCAACTGCTGGGAAAGGCCATGCAGTCTTCTTGGCAACATTTTCAGAAGTAATTTGCCACTGTCATCTTAGAGCTGAGGAGGAGGGACTAGCTCAAAGTCATCCAGCTGACTTCCTTGCCTAAGGTAGGACTAGAATTCAGGTTTTCTTGTTCTAGTTCTTGAGTACTAGTGACCAGTGTTTATTAATCAGTAAGGCATTAACTGAGCTACTCTTAACAAAATCTGAACAATTAAAAACAATAAACTATTTACTGTAGGAATCAAGTGGCCTCATCTCTACAACTTAAGTTAGATTTGGAAGCTAAACTGAACCAGGCTCAATTGGAGATGGGGTGGGATAGCAACAAGGAATTCCTAGTCTAGGAAGTTACGAAACATCTTGGAAAAAAGCAACAGCAAACCAGTTCTACACCATTGTTGAGAAAACTGACTAGATATAACCCATTCAGGGATGAGAACCAGAGCTCAATACAAGGATATGTTTTACAGTATCTCCTTCTAATGCATGCATTCTTACCTTTAGTGAATCAAAGCAGGCAATCACTCTTCCACTTTCAACCTGGCAGCTTTTGGACGGATGTGCAAATTTACATTCCTCATCAGAACGTGAACAAGTCCCTCTCTGAAACTGCCTGCACACTTCTAGCGTCAGCCATTTTGTGTCTCTCACTGGAGCAACAATTGAAGCCATGATGTAAAACAGCTTTTGATTTTGTGAGTCGTTAATGAAATAGTCTCTGTTTAAAAACTCTAAAAAGCCAAGATGTTCCTTTCAATAAAACAAGGCATAGCTTAAGAAAATCCAATGCCTACGAAGATAATGTACAAAGCGGCTATTATCAGTGAACATTGTAGTTATCAACCAATATATGCCACTTGTACACTTTTGTCTGCAATATATTCATGCTCAGTAGCATTTCTGGCCAACGTTCATGCTACTGGGGGAAAAAAACTTTGTTTTCATACAATGGCATTCTTTTATACATTTTAGGCTGTAGTATCCTCTTCGTTGGTGTTGATTAGGTAGGAATGGCTACAGATTCAGCAGTTCTTGTTTAGTTCAATATTTTTTCACACGTTTTGTAAATTCTGGAATCAGATTCACAGGAAGCAGCTGCTATAGTTGATTTGTAAGGTTAAAGCCAATATCTAGCTGTGAGAGATGATCATAAGAATGAGGTTGTCACTGTACAATGACTACATAAGGCACTTATAGTGCAGAAACCTGTGAAAACAAAGTGAAAAAGTTATTCAAATAATATATAAATACAAGTTTTCTAGAAAATGTTCTAGAAATATAACTACAATATAACTTGTATAACTACATATTTTGAAAACCCAGGAAATAAAAAGTCAAGATGCACAATACAATAATCCATTAAAGTAATAAAATGATATTTAGAATAAAGTTTTTCTCATCAGATTTATTCGTTTTGGGGGGTAAAGACCAAGTTGTCGGTAGATTAAGATTTTAATATTTTTATGCATTCTGGACACCAGGAATGGAATGCTGATGATAACACACTTTAAATACAATAACTGAGCCTTTTAATTTGGTTATATTGTGAACGGATATGCTGAATATTGAGAAGACTCACTAAGTTTCCATTTCTTCCATGTGCAGTACAATTTTATAGAGGCTCACAATATCACTGGATACACTATTTGAACTGCAACACTATTTATACACTGGTACTTAAGTTTGTGAACCCTTTTGAATATCAATATTCGGCCTAAGTGTGACCTAAAACATTTTTGTGACATAGGTGATCATATAAATTTGATACATGAATAAGCAAATAAATAAAACATGATCTGTTCTCCGTGTAAGTCCTAAACCTGAAAATGAAAATAACCCAATCAAAAGGGTCAAAAATATACTTTTTCATTTATTGACTGAGGAAAATAATCTAAAAATCTCAAGTATTGCAAATTACCAGAAGAAACTCTTCTGTCCTTCCTTGATGCTGTGCTTTCCCTTCAGAGTGAATAATTCTCCTTTTCCGTGCCATAATTTGCACTACCAATGTAGAGAGAGAGCACCTCAAAGTCACTACTGGTTAAAATGTGACATGATTTTAAAAAATAATTGTCATTGGCAACCACAAAACTTTTCCTGTTGACAACCAATCCAAGCTACACAAATATTTTGGATGAATCTCGGGCAGTTTTCCTCAAGAATGACAGGAGTTGGTCCAAACTTCTGGACTACAGCTTGTTGATAAATGTTATACCCATTTCTGTTATAACATTTCTGTTGTATTTTGGAAACTAGCAGGGATGGGAAAATTCTTGAATTTCTCTAAGATATATCCTGTAATGAAGAAGTCAGTTGAGAGGCTAGATTCTCGCTTCAAAGCACTAACAAGGAGTGAGAGGATTTTTGCTCAATTTCAAATGACAATATTGTCATTAAAGACTGAGAAATATTCCTTCTAACAAAAATCATAAAGATTCTAGGAAGGAGTAGTACTTGTATTTTATACATCTTTTTTTCTTCTATTCAATCATGCCTTGATTCTCAGAGACTGAATAAATCCTTGCAGTTTTCTTCACAAGATTTTCAGAAATGGGTTGCCATTGCCTCCTTCCTAAGGTTGAAAGAAAGTGACTGGCCCATGGTCACCCAACTGGGTTTGTGCTTAAGGCAGTACTAGACCTCAGGTTCTTTGAAATCTATAATCTATAAAGACCTTCAAGATTTGGCACCTGGATACCTACGCATCACCTCCTCCAACTGGATTCAAACCAGCCTGTTTGATCATGTAAAGAGGACTCCTTGTGGATCCACACCTCCATGAAACTAGAGGGCACCACTTCTCCAAAGCAGCACCAAAGAGCAAAATGGGGTCGCCACTGGAAGTTATTAAAAACCAAGCTTTTTCCAAGAGACCTTCATTATCTGCGCTGCTTGTGGTTTTCTCTTCTACTTTAGTTTAGTTTTTATTATTTGAATTGTATGCCATTCTAATTCCGATGTCATTTTATTATGACACTGTAAATACCGAAAGTTACAAGATTGAATTAGGATAAAAATCAAGTACAGTGGTACCTTGGGTCATGAACGCTTCTATTCACGACCAAATCAGGTGACAACCAGAATTTTTGCTTCTGTTTGCGAACAGATCTTTGGGTGGCGACCAAGCAAACCCAAAAATCACTGCGATTTCCCCTTCAGTGCCACTTTTTTGGGTCCATGCATGCATAGACAGTCGTGCTTCCAGTCACGACCAAATTGGGTAGCAACCGTAGTCCTGGAATGGATTGCAGTCATGACTCGAGGTTCTACCGTACTGGTATCTTTTTTCTACCTTCAGCAAAGGAAGAGATTATGGTAATCTGATTCTGCATGTGACCAAGAGTTCTGCCTCACTTGTGGACATAGATAGCTGATGTATACAATGAAAGGAACTATATCAGAATCCTTGAGTCTTGCTTTACTATAATTTTGAATAATCATAGGCACTTAATCAATTTGCTTTCTCTTATCCCTTATATTTTGCTCAGATTTTGGGGATGAGTTCAGGCGAGATGCTAGAAGTTAATATCTAAATATAATTTGTAAGAAGGAACAAGAAATGCACCAAGATGCAAACATAGAGAGCTAGTTACAGTATTATTCCCGTATATGAAGATGTCGGTAAAGAGCTAGTGGAAAGGATAGATGTATGGAGCAGAGGGTATTTTTTTCATTAAAAAATGAGAAAGAGATGTATTCAAAACATCTCTTGGGCTTTTCAGGATGAATTTGCTCATTGTTTCTGTTTTCTTCAGCACCCTTTGCCCCCCCCCCCACCACAATTCTGACCTTGAAAGATTAATGAAGCATTTAATGATTCTGCAATGGATGGGTAAGAATTTAACATCTCTTCAGTGTGTATCTTCCAGAAAGATCTTGAAAGACTTTCCCTTGCCCGTTTCCTTCTTCCTCTTTCTTTTAGATTAGATTAGGACACTGAATTTTGTAATTGCTTATCAAACCTAAACAGTTCAACTCTAATCTCTTATCCAGCTAAGTATAGGAACAATGAAGACAAAAAGTTGTCTGCTTTGGGAGCCTCGTGGACACAACTTACTGAAGAACAGAAAGGGCTGTTGCTTGAATATTGTGGCATTGCCATATCTGAGGAAATGAAATGCATGTTTGGAAAAAAAATGTAAAAGTATCTAGGGGTCAATCTGGCTGAAGTGTCATTTTAAAAAATCAGAGGCAGATTTGGTAGAAACATTCATAAACAAAACCAGAGTCTCTTAGGAGCTAATCTAGTAGAGGTATCCCCAGGAGTACCTTGGAGGCAAATTTAGCAGAGAATTCCCTGGAGGGTGGAGATGAAGATTAGCAGAAGCTACTAATGCAGAGAACTTGACAGTAATGTTCAAAGGTAGTGAGTGAACTGACAAGAGTCACATGACAGAGCTGTGACTAGTTAATTAGCAGTCCTTGGCACTGGATAGAATAGAATAGAATAGAATTCTTTATTGGCCAAGTGTGATTGGACATGCAAGGAATTTGTCTTTGGTGCAATTGCTCTCAGTGTACATAAGAAAAAATAAAATACAATACAATACATTCATCAAGAAACATAAGATACATTTAGTTCTAGTCATAGGTTACTAACAAGCAGTCAAATCATACTAGAAAACAAATAAAACAATACAAATTGTAAAGATACAAGCAACACGGTTATAATCGTAAGTGGGAAGAGATAGGGAATAGGAAGGATGAGAAGAATAATAGTAATACAGTCTTACTAAATAGTTTGACAGTGTTGTGGGAATTAGTTGTTTAGCAGAGTGATCGCATTTGGGGGGAAACAGTTCTTGTGTCTAGTTGTTCTGTTGTGCAGCGCCCAGACTGACAAACTCTCAAAACAGAGTCATGTGAGTGGAAGGCATGAGTCCAATTCCCCCAAAACTATATTGGACACAATATATTAGGTGTCTAGAGTCTGTTGGGCATGCAAGCTACATTCACATCTTTTAAGACTAACATCCAAGATAGAACGAAAGATACAAGTCGGGCCCCTAAAAGAATAGAAATGAGATGGCATTAAGTAGTAAGAAAACAGTCTTGTTACATTGCCTTAAGCAGGGGTCTTCAAACTTGATAGCTTTAAGACTTGTGGACTTCAACTCCCAGAATTCCTCCTCCAGTCATGTTAGCTCAGGAATTCTGGGAGTTGAAGTCCACAAGTCTTCACTTGTCAAGTTTGAAGACCCTTGGCCTTAAGTATGGGGGGAAAAGAACAGAAATGTATTAAGAATTTTTTATAAGACACTAAAACTACATCAGCCCCAAATGAAAATTATGATAATAGAATTAACAGAACTGGAGGGGCCTTGGAGGTCTTCTACCATTCCAGACAAAGTTATCCAATCTCTTCTTAAAAACCTCCAGTGTTTACAATCTCTGAAAGCAAACCTGATCCATTGTTCTTAATATCAAGAAAAATGTCCTTAGTTCTAGGTTGGATGTTTCTTTGTTAAGTTTCCATCCTTCTTGTCTTGCACTTGGGTGCTCTGGAGAATAGATTGCCCCCCTCTTCTTTGTGACAATCTCTCAAATATTGGTAGACAGCTATCGTATTACTCCTATTTCTTCTCTTCATTAGACTAGACATGCTTAGTTTCTATAACCATTCATCATGTTTTTGGCTCCAGACCTCTAATCACCTTTTGTTGCTGTTCTTTGCACTTTTCCTAGAATCTCAACATCTTTATTGTAGAATGGTGATCAGAACAGTATTCCAAATGTTGTTTTACTAAGGAAATTTATTGAAGTAATAATATTTCATGTGATCTTGATATATTCCCCTTTTTATGCAGCCTAGGACTTGTTGGCTTTTTTTGGTAACTGCAGCATGCTCTGGCTCATTCTTGCCTTTTAGTTAACTCTCAGTTACTAATTTTTGGCCAGATAATCCATGACTTACAACCAGAACTGAGCTCAGAATTATGGTCATTATGTTGTTTCTGTCATTAAAAAAGGAACCCAAGCAATCCCAGATCTCCCCACTGTAGCTATTATGCAGAGCATGAGATGGCTTAGGGGCAGGGAAGGCCCTGGGCTGCTGGAATAAATGATTTTAGTTGAGGACTCCCTCTATAACCTGTGCATTTGGTTTTTCTTGCCTAAGTGTAAAACCTTACTTTTCTCGCCCGTGAATTGATTTCTGACTTATATCCAGTGTTCAAGTCTGTTGAGATATTTTTGGATCTTGAGCC